GTAGCTGGAGTAGGATGCACAGTCCTGGAGGGAACAGGAAGATGCTGCCATCTGTGAGCACAGAGATTTAAATACATAAGCCACATACACAGTCAAACTGATGCTGGCCAGACCCTTCCTCCATGGCTGCAAACCTCTTTCGCCAGATGAGAGACTAAGAAGAGAAGTTGCATTAAGAACATTACACTAATAATATTACCCTAAAACCTCTGATAAATGCAACTGAGTCAGGGTCAGTTGAGGTAAATGTGTCCCACATCACTGTGGGCAAGAATTCCAGTTTGTGGACCCATCTACAAAAGTCCCTGTTGTAGCTGTGGCTGCTCTGGGGTGGCTCTGTGCCTTAGTCCTTCTGGACCCTGTGGTAGTCCTTTAATCTTTTTGACCCTCTGTTTTTCCATCTCTCTGCCTGTGGTTTCTTCCTTTTGTAGAGAGTGAGTTTGCTCCAGGTCAAGACATTTTTTTAATTATTGCCTTGATTTGTACCGAGCCCTGCTCTTCTGCCAGGAGTGCTATGTAGAAGAACTGGGAATGCAATATATTAGTCTGCTAATGTGGCTGACTGTGACGCTTAAATCACAGAGATTCTGCCTTCTACCCAGCCTTCCTCAGTGTGCTGTTATAGTATGGTGCTTGTGACATTTCTTTATGGGCTAAAGAGCAATGCACAGCTCTCCTCTCACCTCTTTTAGCCTGCTAAAAAACAGTGTCTTGATTTGCCTTCCTGCATTGTGATTAAGTGCATCTAGTAAATATCCCTTGTATTTTCCAAAGTACTCTCCTTAAATGTGGGGTTTTTTTGCCTGAAGTCATTTCAGCCTAGTGTTTTCTTGGCTACTAGTCAGACCTCTCTCTGCTTCTGAGCCTCTGTGTATCAGAGGCAATATTAATTACACCTGGGAAAGCAAACAAAAATAATTAGGAATACAGCTACCATAACTAATTGAATACATCTGGTACAGGGCAGTCTCTGCTACTCTTGATGTTCCTGAAGCGGATTTCTTTGGGTGTCACTGTTATCATAGCGGAGTTGTACAGTGCTAAAGAAATGGGAACAATGACCACATGGTTTCAATGAGTGTTTATCCTTTTGTCTTCTTCTGGCCTTGGGGACAGCAGTGGGCCACAGGTTTGGCACGAGTTCTCCCAACCCCACTACAGAAGACAACTTATTGGTTTGCAATAGCTTAGACAACTCTTGAATGTGTGGGAATGCTTCCATCCTGCCATCTGTGCAGTAGGAGTCATCCCATTTCTGACAGGCTTGAAAATGGCAGGTGTCAGACCCATAGTTTTGCTTCTAGGGCAGATATTTGCTTCCGTCTTTGCTTAAGATTTTGTTTTGGTAAATTTGCTGTTTCTGTCCAGGCTAAGAAGCATCTGATCTTTCAGCAGCTAATCAGTGTGCCTTTATTTTCATGCTAGGTTTCTGGAGGTGCTGTTAAGACATGGAAGTCAGAAGACATAAAGGCCAACAATGTCCATATGGCTTGGCAGTTACCACAATACTTATTAATATCTGCTGGGGAGGTGATGTTCTCCATTACAGGTCTGGCCTTCTCCTATTCTCAGGTACACCACTTAAAGATAAGGTGCTTACAATTAGACTTCAGGATTTATTCCTGCATCTCCTGTTGACTTGTAATATGTCCTTTGGCATGCCACTGACTCACTTAAGCAAAAAGTGAGTTTGTAACACAGCTTGCTGGGTGCCCTCAAACTAAATTAATTCCAACCCTAACTATTCTATGATTCTGTGATACTCTGAAAGATACCTCTTCTCAATTATACTCAGGACACTCCTTTTCTAGTGAAGCTGAGAACACAGAAAAGAACTGGATAGAAGCTTATTTTAATGTGAAAGGTCTGAATAGTGTAATACCATTTTTTTCTCCCAGTGAAATATTTTGTAGTATGTATTTTCCAGTGATAAAAAGTCAAAAGTATCTCAAGGACTATAGGGTGGCACTGGGCTTTGGAATCTGCTTTAAATGGAGAGAGCGAAAGGGTCTAAGCTTACATGAGTCTAAAAAACAGAGCAAGGGGTAGCAAGTGTGCAAGGGATGATTTGATTGTTGTCTAGGAAGAAGGTTTATGAGGAGAGGATGGAGACATTACAAGATCAAAAAGCTGAAGCTACTCAAATTTATCTCTGGAGTAAATTGCAGATATTCATTAACAGTGAGACAACTTGTAATGGGATGTAGAAGCTTTGTCATCGCAGGAAGTTCAACATCAGGATCCAGTTCCAAAGGTGTACAGCCACATGGCATTAGACTACAACCTGCAGGTGGTGTTGTGTGGTTCCCTGGACTTTTCGATTGTATGATTTCAGATGATGCAAACTGGGGATGATGAGGATCCAGCTCTGCAAAAGCAGCATCTCCTCCTTCTTCACGTGTCCTCCTGGAGGACGTGTTTTGAGAGTTTCTTGTATGAAGCTGTTGAGGTTAACCACTCTGCACAGAGAAAATTTCCCCCATCTCGTAGACTGAGCCCAGTGACACCCACACTGGGCAGGACATCACAGAGTGAACCAGGGCAGAAGGGCATAGTGTGATATCCACTGATCAGACCCTTCTCTTTTCAGTCTCCAGCCAGCATGAAGTCGGTGCTGCAGGCAGGCTGGCTGCTCACAGTGGCTGTTGGGAATACCTTTGTGCTCGTTGTTGCCCAAGCTGCACCAATGGCACAGGTATGGTTTGGCTCTCAAAACAGAGGTAATGCTTTTAAACAGGCTGCTGGATGTCCATGTCCTGGAGGCACAGCTTTCCTGCACAGCTCCAGGCTCCTGCAGCCTAGTGATGGCAGACTGCACTGAGGTCTCCCAGCCAGGGCCCTGTATTGCCCTCAGCAGAGTTGCCCTCTGGAGCTGTGGCCCTCCCTAAGCCTCCCAGTGGCATTAAATAATAGTGACCTGCACTGCTGCAATAACATTGATGGAGCTCAGCTCTGCGCAGGCAGGCCACCTGTGGCCCTGAAGCCTGTATATGTTGCCAGCCACAGATTTCAGTTGCTTACCAAAAGCAGCTTGCCTTCACCCAGGTAGCCCAGTGGGCTGTCAACCTCCTCAAGTGTCTAGCTTGGTAATCCCTCAGAGCCAGCTGCCTATGGCACCCTTGAGATGATGGGGAAGTTGTGGTACAGAGGTTGTTAAATTGTGGCTATCAGACTTCTGGAATGGTGCCATGAAGGTGTGAACTTGGGCTTGTTTCTGGCTAACATGAAATTGCCTCCTCCAAAGGAATCTTGTGGGCAAAAAGCCCAGACAGGTATGTTGCAGTCAGGATGGATTTCTAAGAAAAGATTTAATGAAACTGGCCCAATCAAACAGGTTTATTTCAAGGTATGTCACATATTCATAATCCAATTATGTGTACATGGGTTTACCAGAAAACAGGATGAGAAAATTTCTATCCTGTAAACAATTTTGGAAACTAAAAAGAAATTTTCAGCCAGCTCTTTAAAAAGCACTTGGAAGTGCAGAGATGTCCTCTGGACTGAGAGTCTGGGGTCTCCTGACCTGCTGTTCTTTTTTCTTTCCTAGTGGGCTGAATTTGTCTTGTTCACTGTTCTCCTCTTTGCTGTGTGCATTATTTTCTCCATCATGGGATATTTCTATGTCAGTGTGGATCCAGAGGACCTAGAAGAAAAGGAAGAGAAGAGAGAGACCCCAAGCAGAGGAAACATGATTAGTCTCGTTACTCAGAAAACAAAGCTCTAACACATGATGGGTTGGGATTTTTTTTTTAATCAGAAGATGGGAAGGTAAAGGGTGGGGAAAATGTTCTTTTATTTTATAGCATTGCAGTCTTTATTACTCAAAATGTAGCCATCTTCTAAATGGGACAAAATAGCCCTTTATAAAAACAGTGGGGGGTCCTAAAATCAGGGCGAAACTCGCTGGGAAAGCTCCTCTGATATTAAAAGCCCTCAAGTAAATACAGTGTAATTTAAAACCTGTCTATTTTTTAAAGTATAGGATGCTTTCCTATGATTTGGTTTTAAACATATATTTAGGGCAGCAGGGAGGAAGGGTGGAAGGAATGCCATATGACAGCAAAATTTAGAGATGTTGGGAGAAAAGAATGAAAACTCATTACAGGAATTGGGGAGGAATAGACGTTACTGACAGGAAAATTTTTAATGCTGTCACCGAGGACTGGAAGTGTTACAGTTCCAAAGAATTTTATCATGTAACTCTCCTTATGAGTGTTTCACCCCATTATTGCATATTACGAGTGGTCCTGATTTATGACTTTCACCTCCAGGCTCAGTAGTAATAACAGGGAATTAAATTCTGCAGGCTAAAATATTCCCCAAGCACTACTGAAGAAGATGTGTATGCCACCATCTGTCTGATACTGATTTTTTTCCTAGGAAGTTTAGCAACTGGTGGTTTCTTTGTATATATGTGATTAGAGAATTGGTTTACACTTTGTTATTTCAGAAATCCAGGCAGTTACTTGCCATCTTCCCATATATTAAGTCTTTATTGGACATTTCCTTTTACAGCACTTGCCACTGCAAGTTAGGATGAGGCTGATTTCTTATCTCATCCTTCAGTTATTCCCTATCGAGAGACACATTGTGGCAGTGTCTATAAAATTCCAGGCATCCTGCAGAGAGTTAAACAAGGATGCACTTTATCATCTTTTCAGTCTACAAGAGAAGACCATAGGAGATTTTTCTTCTTCCTCCCTGTTTTTGTGTCTCTCTACTAAACTATGGATATAGCTATTTTATCAGAAGTGTGGTATGTCTGATTTTCCTGGGTTGTGTGAATCTGTGATTTCACAATCTGCATAGAAGTAATTCAGCCATTGCTGATCTAGTAAAACTCTTGAGACAGTCTCTGCCTTCGTCTGGCCTCCAAGGCTGCAGTTGTAACAGGTATGTCCTAATTTACAAGAAGTTGTCAGTAGGATCTTCAGGTTCACAGAGAATAGATACTAAATGATGCTTTCCTTTTCTATCTTGGCATTGGCCAACACGATTACAAAATACATGTTAATTTAATTCCTGTTCAGGATAGTGCTAGGGAATACACTTAGTTTGACACCTCTGCTACTTTAATGTGCTGCTTTGTGTATGTGTGTCTTTTTGAGTGAGGCTGAGAAAATCCCACTTTTTGGTTCATAACTGGAAGACTCACAACCTAAGATTGTTTCCTTTGCTTCCTGTCATGAACTTCCACCACTAGTTCTGCATAAACTCCTGCCTGCTGTGAAACAGCATCTGAGTCTTGTGCCAGGAGGGGACCATGGTCTCAGATAAATGACACCAGGCTGCGGTTCTGCACACAGAAACACTTAATGGTGTTCAGTCAATGCAAAGTCATTTATTAAGCTGTGGTGCCTGGATCCAGGCAGCTGAACCCTGTGACTCAGCAGGGAATGAAGGGCATTGAAAAACATCTATTAGGTCATCCAACCTGCTCCTCAGAAGCCAAGTAAGGATTATTCCCTCTACTCTTTTCTGGTATTGTTCTCCTGCCGTGATTCTTTGTGTCGGTTCTTTCTCCTCCAGACATTGTTGTTTTGCTAATCCTGCTTTATGATACACTGAGAATCAGCTCAGAGGCTGCTGAATCATTCTACTATGATGCTATTTGACCAACTTCCAATTCGGAGCACTAATAGAAAAGATTTCTTTCTCCCCCCTGCAAACAAAACAAAAATCCCCAAACTGAAGGAATGGACAGGCTCCAGTAGCACTCAATAAACAGAATTTAGAATTATTGGAGCATTTAATTTTTTATAAGCCTTGAATTCAGAAGTGCATTGGGGTTCAAGGGCATATGTGCTGAAGAGACAATTGAAAATTATTGGCGCACTTTCCTTGGAAAGCACTTGGTAAGCAGCTCATAGTGGCATGAGGGAAAGCAATGTGTCCAGTTCTTTACATATGCTCAAGAACCTTTTGATTTTTGTTTTGTTTCCTTATTGGCGGCACTACCAGAAGCTGTCATACACTCTGAGCTTAATTTAAAGGAATCATTCCAAACTCATAAAAGATACATTTAGGAAGTCATCTGTAGCTTTTTTAACTCCTAGTGCCAAATTTCCCCTTTCCAAACATCTCCATGTTCCAAACCATCACCATAATGCGGGGGGTGGGAAGGAGAAAAATTGCAATTCACAGTTGGGAAGGTTATGAACAGGAAAGCAATGCTATAAATGAAGTGCTAGCATGAGGCTGGCGGATGCTCCTGCAGCCCCTTTAAGGGGCTGATTACATTTCTCTTCCAGCTGACACCGCTACTTCTTCCCACCTGCTCATCATCACCTATTGGAATCTTTGTCCTCCTCCCATCTGCCTGATGGTTGCTGATATGATCCTTCCCCACCGTTTCAGCTGCAGTTGTAAAGCTTTTGCTAATTGGACCCATTTATTTGAAATGCACCAGCAGTTTGGAGGGATTTCCACTGAGTGTGCTGACAACCAGCCAGGAGCAGGCTGGGGCCTGTAATTAAGAGCTGCCCCTGCTGTAGCTGGAAAAGGTGGCAAAATAGCACACTCAGCATAGCATTTCTCCAATATTAGACCAGCAACTCTGTCCTCAGAGCCATTTCATCACTTTCAAATGAACTCAAGACTGGATCAAAGATTTAGGATGTGATTCTGTGAAGTATTGAAGTCTCTGGGTTTGTCTTCCATACAGTCAGCTCAGAGATGGGACCACCCAATTTTAGAACAGTGTTCCTTATTTCTCCCATTCCTTGATTTAGGATCAGAGGGAGAATCCAAAATAGTGATAGGATATGTAAAGTTATATGAACATCTATAAAGAACTAGCAGCCTCCTGCCTGTCCAGCTTTGCCTGTCACTGCAGGGAGTCTCAGCTGTTGGCGGAGTCTGCCCTGAAGCAGATTAGGGAAAGCTCACACCAGCTGTTTTGGAGGCTGATGTACAAAAATTATCATCTCCAGCTAAGGGACAGTAATGAGCTGATGGGGATCTTTGGGCATGTTGCTGCACAAGCCTTCATGGAGATTGCAGGAGCTTGGCTTTGCTGTGGAAGTATGTGTATTCATTTGTTTTTCCTAAGGATGATCTCTGATAAAGATGTTTTTGTGCAGCAAATTTCCCTGCAGTTGCACTGGCTGTTACTCAGAGTGTTTTTCCCCTTAGTAGGTTGCAAGTGTGGCCAGTGTTGTTTCCAGCTTTGCATGAGATAAGCATAAAAAGTGAGCTTTCAAACTCACCAGAACAACTTCTTGACTATGGGGTCCTTAAATTTACCTGTTCTGTGTGAGTCTGTCAAACACCTTTAGGTAACAAGCTGCTCATTGCAGCTCAATGAGTTTGCATCTCTCTTTTCTTTCCCCTTCCTTTCCCCACAATTCCAGAAGATGATTTTTGGAAGATTCCAGAAGATGAGCCCTGGGAGGTCTTCATGGTATGGGCTTGGATGCCCCTGCTGCATGCTGTCAGCGCCGCCTGGGAGACAGGAGCCTGGCCAGGAGCAGGAGCTAGTTCCTCCCTGGAGACCCAAGTGGGGCTGAGCAAGGTAGCTTGAGGCAGGGCTTGCCCTCATGGAAGATGTGGTTTTCCTGAGCAGTGATCTGGATCTGAGTTTTATTGTAAAGGCATAATGTGAGCAAGTGAAAGGAAAAGTTTTCACTGGTCTTGGCTTTGGCCTGAGGTGCTGTGCAAGGAGGCTGCAGACTGACTAGCAGGGAGGAAAGAAATGGCTATTTGGTCTAGGTCTTCCAGACTCCTCAATGAGCAGCTGAAATTCCTCACATCAAATTAATTGCAGAGAAAATTATACGGGAGAAGTGGAACGCTCAGGTGGTTAAATAGTGGATGACTTCAGACCTTTCTGAAAGTGCTCTCCTAACTGGTGATGAAGGGCCATCATGGGAGTTAGCCACCCATAGCTTGAAAACTGGTTTGTAGTTCTGGAGCGCTGCAAAACCTGCATACCAACCTGTGTCCTCGGGTCTGCAGTGACTGGAGGAGGAGGCAACTGTGCTCCCAGTGATGCCACCACCAGCCATGACAGCCACCACCTTGGCTTCCCCTTGGTACTGAAAAACGCAGCTGAAGGTGTGTTACAAATGGGAGTAGCACAGGAGGGAGGGCTACAGTTAAGGGTGGTTAATGGGCAGTTTTAGCCAGGGTCATACACAAAGGAATAATCGCCTCTTCTATGTCCTCTCTCTCTGCGTTGAATTTCTCCATTTCACTACAAGAAACACTTTCTAGCACCAGCAGGTTAAAGAAGAGTTCAGTTCCATTGCAAATACCACAGCTGCTGAATTTTGGACTGTACCAGACTCTGCATTTCATTATCGCTACATTTGTTATTGTGCTGTAATTCTAAAACAGCACTTGAGAGATGTTTCTGGCCCCAGATGTTGACAGATCTGGCCATGTTTTTGCATATTGATAGCTAGATTTACACTAGTCTGTCATGTTAACACATACGATAAACCTGTCATGTACAAGTAGATGTTGTGGACCCTGTGGATTTCCTCAACAATTTAGAAGAAAACCAAAATCCCTAGTGAAGCTGGCTAACCATGAAGGTGTTGCTTCCTTGTTGGAGATACCACAGGCTTTGTAAAACAAGGACCCTCATTCAGCTCTTGCAAAGTGGTCCCCAGAAAGACAAAAAGGGGGGGACACTGTTAAACATGTTGCCTTGAGAAGGGCTCATGCTGCACTGCAGAAATTGCCTGAAGGAAAATAATTGCTTTGCTTAAAATCCCTCCTTCCTTGCCATGTCAGGTGGTCAACAAGGAATTAAACAAGTTGTTTCTTTGTGAGCGCTGAATGAAGGAGCTGCAGCATCCTCTGAAGGTCTTCCCATAATGTGTTTTACTAGCAGATCAACATTAACTTGCCTCTACTACCTGTAGATCAGAAGAGTGCCAGGATGCAGAGCAGACACACTCCAGGCTCCCACGGTTGGCTGATCAACTCTCTTCATTTTTAATGAAGTTTTTAGCATGTATCCTGCAGAGCTCAGACAGAATTGGTCTAAATTTAGGCCAAAACTAAGGACCTGTGAGCTGTAATCAACAAGATAAATGGAAAAACTTCCCCCCAGAACTGCTAAAACACTGGTTTACGGCTTAATTAAAGTTTTAATATGCTTACAGAAACTAAAATCCTAACCCAGAGTGTAACAATTCCGTTGGAGCAAGGAGGAGGTGCAGTTGGAATCCAGCAGTGTGGCAACTGGCAGGCAAGCTGAAGTCACAAAAATCAAGCAAGCATCACTTTTTAGATTACTTTTTGTCATTGCATATGTTGTTCAGTCTGCTTGGCCTGTCCTGTTCCACCTACCCGTGTGTGTAAGGAAAAGAAGCTGCACTGACTTGTGGAAGACACATACCCTTCCCAAACTGCAGCTTGGTTTTCCTCTTGTTGCAGTCCCTCAAGTTAGCTCCAGATGACTCCCTTTGCTAGCAGCCAGCCCCCTCAGCCCCAAATGCTGATCTTCCCTGCCCAGAAGTCACTCAGACTTCTCCCTCATGACTTTTCCAGCTATCAGCACCTTGCTTATTCCTCTTCTCATGCAACCTCTCTGCTGCCAGGAACAGCATGTCTTCTTAGGGGTTGTCCTGGCTAATGCTGCCCACTTTCCTGCAGCCAGAAAAGCTTCTTGCCCACAGGACTAGCATGTCTGGGCAGAAATCAGACAGAGCCAATATATGGGTGGCAGTAGGGCATCTGCCCTGGCTTGCTTTGGCTCTGGCTCCTTGTCACAGCCTTGTGTGGCCCAATGCATCTTCTGCAGGCAAATCACCTTAGAATTATTGGGGTAATCCAGTATCTCTGTGTGTCCCTCCTATCTATCCTATGCTCAGTTAGCTGCCCACAGGCAGCCCTTGTGTTGTGCCCTGTCAAGCTGCAAGGACTTCTGGCCCAAAACACTGCTATTACCAGGCATAGGGGTCCATTTCTGCTCTCTGTCACCCCAGGTTGTTTTAGTTGGCCTTTGTTCATACATTATTTATGGTCAGGCTGCTCGTTGCAGCCTCCCACTTGTGCTGGAGGCTCTGGAGCCCTCCCCCATCAGTTAGTGAGTCTTGTAGAGTAGTAGGAGAAAGCCACTCAGCTTGTGTTCATCACAGCACTAGTGTGTGCTCAGTGGGCTGCATCTGCAACAGATCCCCCATCAGTGAGGACACTGCATCTGGTGAGGTGGGGCTGGCTCCTCTGCTAGCAGTGCTGGTGCAGTGATTGCTGGTGTCAGTGGGGCTGGCTCTGTGGCCTTCCCAGGTTTGGCTGTCATGTTTTAAAAGCTGGTGTTGGTGTTTTGCTGGGAGACCCCTGTCATTACTGTGGTGCTGGCAGGTGTCAGCTCCTGAAACTGTTGGGCGAGGAGCAGCAGGCTGTGTGCCTGGGCAGTTGACACAGGTACCCATGCTGGTGCTGCTCGCCTGTGGTGGGGCACTTTCTCCTCCTTCTTCATCTACTCACCCAATGCAGCAACCAGGTCTCAGGTAACTGGCGTGTCCTAGACCTCGCTGTGTTATGTGCCCACCCACAAGAGATGTTTCTTTGAGTGAAAATGAATTTGGTTGCTTTGAGGTCTGGCTCTACCTAAATCTGCTTGGAGCCTTTATTTGTTTAATCTGTGTATCAAAGCACTCCAAGTAGACCTTCATGCTGTCCCTACCAAAGACAGAAGCCTCTCAGAGGTCCTGTGCCAATTTGGATATTTCCTGCCCAAGTCAGAGGTGAAACAGGCCAGCAGGAATTCAGCAGACCCCAGGAGATGCTGCCTTTCAGAAAGGTGAGCTGCTGTCAGTCACAGTGGCTCCTCACAATGTGAGGCCATGCAGTCCAGATCCTGCTATGTTCTGAGCTCAGCAGAGGCCAGTGGACGCTCAGATTCCTCTCTGGGGGCTGCAGCTCCCATGCCCCAGGACTGGCAAGCCCACCTGTGTGCCATTCATGGTTTGTCAGCACCAGCTTTGTTTCCTGACACTTTATACAGGATTTTATATGCTTTTAACCAGCAGTCCCTCTGTGGGCATTAGCCAGCCTGGGTAATGTTTGCATTTCACCCTTTGCTGTCTGCGGCTCTGCTTTTGAAGCCAATGTTAATGTTTTCCTTTCCCCCCGCCCCCCAGTTGTCCTGAGCACTTGCACTCTCTGTATAAAATAGCCAAATGGCCTTGCCTGTTTGAAGACAGATGGTCCATCCATCTTCTGCAGAAACTGTGACAGTGCCATGAAGAATCCCTCTGTGGTAGTGGTGCTGGTATAGTCCTTTAAATTCCTATTGGAGGACTTCTTTGATCCTTCTATGCACCATCCTTTTGTATATGTTGCTTAAAACCAAAGGGGTTGCGCTTCATTTCTCACAGCCCACAGCACTCCTCAAGCTTCCTTAATGCAGACTCTGAGTTCCCTCTTCTGTTTGAGCTGAAAACTATTGAAAGCCATTGAGTGCTTCAGAATCAGCTGTTTTTTCCCTAGTAAAGGTTTGGGGGTTTTCTTTGCAGATTTTTGAAGTGTGTACACATCCATTACTTACTGTGGAGTGAAACACTGCTCCACTCTTCTTTCTGAAGAAGGTTGCGCTTCTAGCTTTTCCATAAGAACCTGATCTTCAGTGTGTTTAATCCTAATGCTGTTCATCATTCGGAGTCCCTTAAAGACTGGGATTTGGGCTCCTTCCTTTGGGTTTCTGCTCACGTCTGCTCAGCATTTCTTAGCTGGTGTCAATGTATTTTATCTCCTGGGGCCAACTGACCTACTGGGCTGACAAGGAACAGAATACATCCCAGTGGTTTTAAAAGATGCACCTTGGCTGAACTTGCTCAGCTCTGAAAGTTTTGAGCCCCTTTTCAGCTTGTTAGAGGAAGAGAAGGCACTTTTCCTCCTAAAGGTGTCCTTCCCATTATCAATGCTGTGCTTAGAGTCAAGTGCCCTTCACGCCGCAGATCTGCAAGCTAAGTAAACACAGCAAATCATTAAGGCAGACTTTGACCACTCCTGACTCCATCAAAGACTGGGATTAAATTAGGCTCCTTTGATAAACTGATCTGATGGGCTGATGTGGATTGCACATGTGGGTATTAGGAGCCTTGTGGGGCTTATGATTAAAAGTCGTAAGAGAATGCATTTATTTAGAGAGGAGCTGTAACTCACTAGTCACTTCTTTACCAGAACAAAAGAGCCCAATTCTGCAGGGTGGCAGGCAGCTTCTGGGAAGTGCCTGTGAGCCTCTAATTGCCCAGGGAGGTGAGAATCATATTTGTTTCCTGCAAGTTTTGATGTTTGTGGTAACACTGGGCAGGGGTCAAGTGTCACTCGGGGCATTTGCGAAACCTTTCACACAGGTGGCTCCTTTATCTCTTTCTACAGTTGCTTGGGTTTTGTTTTCCCCATAAACTACAGCTCTCTTTGTAGCAAGATAATGCTCAGCTGGGTTTCTTTGCTGGACTCTAATCAAATCCTGACTTGCACAGAGAGCTCAGTGCAATCTAGGCTGACTGCCTGCATCAAATTCTCAAGCCTGGGGCTGGATCCTGACCCAGTAGGAAAAGCTCTGTTAGCTTAGGCCCTGCATCAAGCGCTGAAGATGAGAAATGTCTGACTGCACACAAACACAATTTTGCTTGTTGTTTTTCTCTCAGGTTACTGAGTCAGAGCTGAATGGTGTATGTAATTCTAGTAAGGCTATTCTTCTCTCTCTCTCTTTTTTTTTTTTCACTTTTCCCAAGGAACATTCATGCTGCATTTTAATTACAACATTTAGAAAACATCCAAATAGCTTGAGCTCAAATTGATCTTGTTTTTCAGCCAGGAAACTTGTTTTTCATCTATTATAATAATAAATGTGCTATAGATAATAGTTCAGGTGCAATACAGCAAAGCTTTGTGTTATGCGTCAGCTCTGGAGGGCCAGAATTTTCTTATTATCCATTATTGATATGACAGTTTGCAAATATTTAACAAACAAATTACCAGGTTTTTCTTGTTCCCTTCTTAGTTTACAATCTCAGTCTTTTTGACAGCTGTATTTGGGATTAATAATGATCTTGTTTAAGATGATTGTTTGCTAGCAAACAGGTTTATTCTCTAAACCTACAAAGTGCAGTAGGAGAACTAGCACTGACACTTTGAATTAAATCCGATCCTTGAAGCTAATATTTTAGCTTTATTCCCTCCAATTCTTCTAAGCAGAGAGCAGATTTGCCTGGTAAAGTGCTTAGACCTGTTATTATTTTCTTAGTTTATGCAGTCATCTTAAACATAGGAGCTTAATATGAAGGGCTGGCAAAAGCAGATGTTTTTCTCTTCCAACCCTGAGCTTGCTGGGTATGTTCAGCTTATAAGTGCTTTAAAAGACAGGTCCTCCCTGAGCACAAGCATGGGAGTGAGGAGACCACCTGGAGCCTTCATAGAAAAGAGATACCCAGAAGAACCTGATGGATTTGGTCCTTGGTAAAGCACCACAGGCAGCACTGGGAAACGTTCAGTACCAGGAGCTGGTAAAACACATTTGTGGTCTCAGCATCTTCCTCTCTGCCTGATCCGGATCTGAGCAGAGGGTGAAGGATATAGAAAGGGCTGAAGTACCAGTGTCTGCCCGAGAAGGTTGTTTCTGCTGTACATGGCTTCAGGTGAAGCAAGGAGGGTGCTACACCCCATGGGAAATCCTGACACATCCCTCAGGGAGATCCAGGGCATCTTGGGAAAAAGAACATTAGAACATGGAACTCGAAAGAAGCATGAAGCACCCCTTTGGAACATGTGCTGGGCACTTGGCCATTTCTGCCCTGTGGTTTCTGACCATGGGCTTTGCATACACAACACAGGAATTCACTAGTGTGTGAGCCAGGCTTTGGAGATGAGGAGTGAATTTGTTCTCAAGTAAAATCACCTTTTGTTAGCAGAAAAATCTGAGAGTTGGGTTCCCCAAGGGAGCAGTGTTTGAAAATCACAGATGATTAAAAGATAACACATTTGAGAGTGTTTTGCTCCCTTGGTTGTTGTTTGTGGAAGGTTTTTGTTTGTTTGTTTGCCTGCCTTTTGGGTTTGGGAAGCTGAACGCTGCACATCAGTTTCTCCACAAGTGGTCTGGCCACAGATTTTGTATTTTAATGCAAGAAAATCTGAGACTCTCCTTAAAAGCCACCCCCCCAGG